TTACGAAAAGATATTTAAATACACGAGCACCTTAACTTAGTAGTAATATGCATGAGAAGGCAATAATGAAAAATTCATATGTATCGATAACATTAGATCACTATATAGTGTATATAGTAGTACATTAAAGCAATATAATTTTTATATAATTGTAAGTATAATTAATGTTGAAAGGTGCCTTTGATCAACTTTTTGATCCATTTATTGGCAATAGAATATATTAAGTATTTTCCTCTTATCACAAAATGAATTGTATACAAATTTTTACTTGTTAATGATAAAATAACCATCTAACTATTAAAAATAACATTAATTACAAATTAGAAGATTTTTACAATTCTATGTATTTGATACTGCAGATTTTTATCCCTGTAATATTGTGATTCATATGTGGAAACAATATCTCCATGTTATGAAATTACCTGGGAAGAAGGAAATAATTATAAAAACCACGATTAATGTTTCTTACGTTATTGTGTATGATTTAACTCATAGTTTGTGATAATAAATCTTATAATTATTATAATAACCTTCCTTTACTTTCACGTACTATACTTTTACTATTATCAATAAAATTATATCATTAAACAATTTTTAATAACTTACATTTTAAAGATATTTTTACTACGATACATCTTGTATTACATATACGTACATGTTCATACATATTCGAGCGTAGGTCTCATGGGAAGGGGCGCTATTTAGTATTTAACTGTAGAGCAACATGGCAACTTTCGCGAAAGTCGTGCAAGTATCGAAAAGTGTAAATAATGTGATAAAACAGTTTACAAATTTGTCTTTATCCCAAAATGCTAATGCAATTTGCAGTCCGATATTTATTCGAAGGTTTGTATAAAATATTACACGTTCAATTTTTATTTATGTTGTTATGTTACAATTCAACACACCCAGCGTGTACATATTTTACGTAATTTCATCTTTTTATTAATTGACACATGCAGTAAAATGATTTCACAAATGTAAATAATCCTACAGACTTCAACCCTTCTTTTGAAAGGAATGTGCGTTTTATTATTATTATATTGAACGTTGTAATGTTTGAGGTTATGTTTCTAAATTAAGTTTCCACCTGTAGTATATTAGAATTGTACGAACTTTTAAACGTCAAATATGTCTGTCAAATTAAACAAAAATAATTTAAATTATTTAGGATACCCACTTTTCACTATGCATTAATTCATACTACATCTAGACGTAATAGTTTAATGGAATTTTTTGATGACCCAAAAAATTGGGGAGCGAATAAAGTACGAGTAGGACGTGCTTGGCGAAAGGATGAACTAAGATTAAAAAACAATGAAGAACTTCATAAGTTGTGGTAAAATATAAATTTTGGTAAAATATAACAATACTCAAATTATAGTAATATTATATTTAATATTCTTAGGTTTGTGTTATTAAAAGAACGTAATATGCTTTTAACAATGGAAGAAATTTATAAGCAGGAGTGGAAATACTTTCCAAATCCTGAAAGAATTGACAAAATTGAAGACAGTATGTCTAATTTGGAGTCAGTAGTTCGTGAAAGGAATAGAGCATACCATTTGCTTGAAACTGGAACAACTGGAGAACGACCTACACAATTGAAGTATAATCAACTTGGTAAGATATTTTATATGTTTAGTATATATATTATTGATCATAATGAAAACTGTACTGCTGAAACTCCATGTAAATCTTGTTTCATAGGCTTACGTTACCTCTATCGACTCCGCCAGCACATTATACCAAAATATAAGAATACTTTGTGGCACAAAACACACAAATTTTCATTTGGTGGATACGCAGTGCGCAAATTTTTACGATTGTATAGAGAGAAACTTTGGAATGGAAAACGCAAATTACGCATGTTCGTATTGTTTTGTTTAATTATAAAATATTTTCTTTTTTAATTATTTTACTCTTCTTAATAGATTTTCCCTAACCTTGACATGGAGGCTGTGAAAGAAAAATATCCACTGGCGGATCTAGAGAAATTGAAACGATTTAATAAGGCTGAAGGATATTTTCCACGGGATTAAATAAATTTTTCATTATGTATTTCTTAGCCTTTTAAATACATCTCAAGATTAAAGACGTCTTTTAATCTAGCCGATATTATACGACAAATCGAGTTCAAATTATAGTTCTACAGCAAGTATTTTCATGTTAACTGCTGTTAACATTTTTAAAAGTTTTCACCTTTAATTGACCATTAAATATTGTTACATATTATCTTAAACTGCATAGTGTACCTAGGTTTATATAACTTGTTATCAGTTATTAAAATTAATCATGCAATTTTACGATATTAATCTTCCAATATTTACCTGTTGACTTTTATGTCAAAGAATTAAAAAAGATATTAGCACTGGATTAGAAAATAACTTGAAAAATATTGATTGAAGCTAATATTACTAAAGCATTTATGATTGCATATAATTAAAATGTAATTAGAAGCATAGATTAAATTAGATTAAATTCTAGACTGAAAATATTTAAAAAAGTAAATATTGTATAGAAGAAGAATCTATAGTAATAAAAGCAAAATAAATAATGCGAGGTAGTATTACTGTACTTATTTAATATATAATTAAAGTTTAAGTTCATCGTTACATTGTATTACAAGAGGAAAAAACAAGACTTGTCTTTACCTTTATTTTGTTGACTAGTTACAATTTTATTTCTATTTATTTTTTGTTGGTATCTTTGAAGGTCATGTCCGCGGCATTGACATTGTGCAAAAATTCCATGGCTGTAACAATTAAAAAACATGCTCACACAAAGCATGTAAAATTTATAACATCTTGGCCCTTTAGACGCACTAGAAACTAACATAGGAAATTGATTGTTTCCAATTTTTTACTACATAACGTACGCAAATTTCACATTACAGTTGCATAAATTAATAGGTCTCATTAATTTAACGCTTTATAATTTAAATGTTTTATCACAATTGTACGTGACAACATGAAACGATGCACATAGGATTAGAATTTTATTCACAATGATTTACAACTGCATCGATCCATGTAGTTCTGGTAACAGAAAGATATATGTTAAAATGAAAATATATGAAATTTTTCATTAAAAATTAACGTATTAATTTTCATATTAGAAGAAACTTCTTTGGTACATAAAATTATTTCTTCTGTTTTAAAAAGTATAGTTACTACTTAAGAAAACTATCCCATCGTAATTTCTCTCGATATTCATTTTGACGATCCTGCAAAGTTTAACACTACGTAAAGAAACAACGTATTAAATCGTCAGTTTAAAGTATCGAGTAATTAAATAAAAGCACCTTGAGATCGATATGACTATTACAACCAATCATTCATTTTGATCCTTTTATGATTAAAAATATGGTAATCAGACTTGTAACCGAAACAATAATTTTGAAGTAATAAAATGCATATATGTATATATATAAAAATAAACTTAAAAAGCTGTGTTATCATTATAATTATTATTATTATCAGTATTATTAATAGGAATGTTAATTATATGTCATACACTTACTTCAAAAGCAATTTATAGGGTATTCTTCTGTTATAGAAGCTGCACTAAGCCTTACTGCCATTTTATTAGCATTACTTTTAAAACTATATCATTCGGTATGGATAGTGCACTTTTAAATGCAGATTAATTCTTATGATAAATGTGAATATATAGACATTCATGTAACTGATACAGTAATTTTACGCATTTGTCATTATATTACAATCCTGTATACCATTATCAATGACAGATATATCGTAGTTTACGCTATGAAAAAGATATTGCACCACTTTAGTGAATTAGCACATCGATATCGTTAAATATTTATATTTTATATGTGTCTATCTCTTATCCTCTCTAATATCGAGGAACATAAGATGTTTTTCGGTAAATATTTAAAATGTCGAATTCAATTTTATCTGGTTACTGTATATTTATATCGTATGAATTGGTTCGTCAAATATTTGTTTTGTGAATTTCTATTACTTAATATGACGTTGCGATAGCTATTCTCTATCAGCGCTTCTTACTATTTAGTCGATTACTGAAGGTAGTAAATATCGCCATGCAAGCTCTAACTCTTTACTGGCATCTGAGCAACGTCGATGAAGTTTATCTTCTGGTGGTAGCGTTACCATAGGAAATTCACCCTGTGAAAAGGTAAGTTGCAAAACTAAACAGAAAATAATTTTTTTTTTATATTGTAATTGTTTAAAATAGAACATTATCATACCAAATTTGCACCAGCCCATAATGTTTCTAAAATTTCTCTAAAGGTACACAATTCGTTATAATTTGTAAAGTATATGACCCAGTCACCAATACTTTCGTGTACTTCTCGACATGCGAATTCCTGAAAGCATAGTGTGTTGAAATGAAATGGGAGTGTAGAATTTTACAGTATATCCAAACTTGTGCAACTGCAATCACATACCAGTATGCACCAAGATTGCTGAGTTAAAGGTACTCTAAAGGCTATGAGATCTTCTACAGAGGCACAAGCAAGTGTTTGTCCCCGTTCTTTACCGGGAAACACTTCTTTCATAGCAACTAAGTGTTTCGTAGTTGTAATAAAGCTACATGGTATGGGTCCCCTCTTTTCTATAGAGTCGAACAATCCAGATGCGCTTTGAACAAAGCTTTGTAACCATTCGGATGCAACATATTCGTCTGGAGCGGCGAATTGAAAAGCTTTATTCGGTTTTAAAAGTATTTCAAACGTATGAGGACGATGGGAATTGGGAATTCTTCGACATCCTTGACAAAGACCGCCTTTCAGTGGGATGGCTCGTTTTGGTAGTCGTTGATTTTCATCCGTGAACATATAAACAACGCCACCCTTGAGTACAAAATATCCAGCTTCCCATGGGTTAATTGGTGCGTTAGGATGAAGTTGTTGATAAATATGTGGTCTATACATAAGATCACCCTGTTTTGTCGGACTGCACGGCGAACTAGGTGGTGAGATGTGTTCATCTTCCATGTAAATAAGATTATAGTGTTCGATTTTTTCATCCTGAAATATTCAATTGCCCTCAATTTATTGCAATGAAAAAAAATTGACAATGAATAATTCTAGATGATATTTTTCAACGTAATAAAATTTACGTACAGGATGAACAGCAGTATCGTAAAGAACTGAATGCTTTAAAATATGCATGTCGTCATAGCTTAATTCTTTAACCGCTGGAAGGTTGGGTTTTATCGGAGACCGCCTCATAGCCATCTCTAAGTGGGCAATTAATTCCGAAGTGGTTTGGGAACTTCCCGTAGAAAACAGATACTGCATCTCATAATCTGCATTGGATAATAGAATTGTTTGTGCATTTGGTCCAACCTAGAAAGTATTGGTTTTTCATTAATACTTGGATTTTATAAAAGCGGCATTATTCCAACGAAACTTACCATAATAGCATCCAACTCGTTATAAGGAATAACGAATTGATTACTGTAAGTGTGATCCGTTTTCGAACCTGTTAAATATAATGTTTTGTCTGTTAATAAAGCGATCATCGGTTTGCTTTCTCCATTTGTCATGTACGAACTCCTAACTTTATATACTTTATATAATTCTTCCGTTTTATCCCTATAAATGTGCTTCTTAAAATGTTCTCGTAACTTGAGGCTAACTTTTTCTCCGCTGAATTCTTGCTTTTCCGCTGCTACGTTTTCTTGTATTTCTCGTTCAAGGTTGTCATTAAAATCTTTAAAAGAATCATAGCTCGTTTTCACACCTTTGATATACAATGGATCCGTTTTCTGAGACTTTTTGCTTCTTTTAACTTCAAACTTCCTCTCCGTGATAGATTTTAAAAATCTACTCAATAACGAGGTTTTAGACGAAGCTTGCTTTAAAGGTGGCGTCAGTAATTTATTACTATTTTCTCCGGTTAATATCGATGTGATGCTACGCTTTTTTGACGGCGATGCTAAGTGTCTACTATTTTTACGTTCGTCCACATCTGACATAGCAGTACTATCTACGTCCGACCAATCGCTAGAACTATTATACTTTTTCGAATTAGAAGGGCAAGGCATTTGATCTTTCGACGGCGGATCTTCTACGATATTTCCACATTCTTTCTCAATGACATACGCTTCTTGTGCTTCATTTTCTCCCAATTCAATATCCATTTTTGGTCTAAGTGCTTTGCCAGGATCTTCCTGACCCTCCGGCACACCCCGTTCCGAAATCGACAACCCACAAGCACACTTGCAATTGCTCTGACACGGTAATTGTTCACAAGTCTTTGACGATCCTGTCTTGTCACAATCGCTGTCGAATACACTCGATGACGAAGAGTATGAATAATAATCCGAATGTGCATTTCTCGTATTGATATTCTTTTGAACATAAGGAGAATCTCCATGAGCGCACCAACTATATCTTCCTTTTTGCGCATCCTTCTTTTGAACTGAATTAGGTGTTAAGAAACTCATGGAAAAGTCAGCATAACTCTCGTCATCATCCAACTTCATAGTCTTCAAAATATCTTCGTGAAAACTAACGCGCTTCTTATTCTCCCCGCGTTTCTTTTTACGTTGCCTTCGTTGCACTATAGCATCTGAGCTGGAAGACGACAAAATACTAGCGTCTGTCATATTGATAGTATTCAAAATACCATATGGTGGATCTATGTTCTCACAATCTGAAATAGTCATGCTAAGTTCCAAGAGATTCGTATCATTGTTAATCACATATGAATTTCGAGGATTAATATTCCTTTTAAAACTGTAACTACCGTCGCTGTAATAGCTGCTTCTTTTATTTAATTCCTTAACACCGTTGTCAATTTTATTATTTATCTTATCTAACTTCGACTCGTCTAGGCTCTTACTGTAAAAATCGTAATCTTTTAAAGTGTCCAAACTGGAACAATTAAGCTCATTGTCGTCTGGTTTTATTCTGGTTAAATTCTGATTCGCAATATCGCTTGTTGTCACCATCGCATTTTGAAATTTAGTAACCATTCCAGGTGACTGTGTAGGTGTCTTTCCATCCTCGCTGGAATCACTAGAACTGAAATTTTTATTGTCCTCTATGCAATTATTCATCATTGCTTTGTACCTATTATTCCGATACCTCGGGGCATCTTCGGGGTGAAAATCTTCCTGAACATATAAACATCATGAACATGTAATTTATCCAGAGTAAATGTATATCTTTTATAATATAAATTTTACCATAACAAATTTACCTCCTTGTAACTACTGGCATCTGTTTCATTTGCAAGATCCATGTCACTGTCGAAAGCAACTCCACTGTCCCCAGGAGAAGCTAAGCTCGAGGAAACACTAGATGATCTGAGATGTAATGATAATATAGTTCCAGAAGGGTTCACACTCATAGGCCTTTGAGGCATATAATTGCAAATGTCCAGATATGTGACATCCTAAATGATAAATGATTCTTATATTACAAAATTATTTTTTTTACATAAAGCCAATTTCATTTATTTTCTACCAAATTCATTTTTGTTAATTTGTAATTAGTTTAATAAAATTGTTCGTATCACATGTTATTTTCTGTTTTATCATTGAAATAAATGTATCAATAAGTGCAAACGATTTTATTAAACAATTAAATAAAAAGATCGAACCATAGAAAAATTGCACATAATGAGTATTTGATAAGTTCACAAATACAAATTGTTAGCAAAGGATTTTCCATGGACAAGCAAAAAAGGTGATATACAATGCATGAAAAATAGATTTATACGAATGATAACTTATTGCCCTTTAAATTCATAAAAACATGCGACTGTTACTAAGTGACTGATGTAATTTATTACTGAGATAATTGTAACCACGGGGTGATACTGATATCAACATAGGGGAAATGGAATAAAAAGTTAAAAACACGTTCGTGTAAACCGCCGACGTCTATACGTTGATATCGTCAGTGGCTTTTACCAGGACTGCACAATATAAAAGATAGAAATTTTTTTTTATTCTATACAATGCACAAGTGTATAAATGTTCATAGTATCTATTGAAAGATAGTGTCATCTCACAAATAAATTTTTACAGATATTTCATAGAATAACATACCAGTTGCAATGTGAAGGATACATTTTCTAATCCAGCAAGGAGATCAACTAACTGGTTAGTTTTATCTGCATCCCGAACAAGTGCATGTGCAAAATATTGTTTCTTTAATGTTTTTGTATCTCGTAATAAGCAAGCTAAATAGCTTTCAAAGCTCCCTTCGCTAAGAGTATGGTAAAGCCATGCCCTGCCTAGAAAATACATAGAAATGCATTATAATTTGTGTTTTCGAATGTCATAATTTATGGTATTAATTTTATGGAATTTATATGTATATTCAGTTATACCTTTTCCAATGGAAGTTAATACACTTTGAAGAGCATGAATTACAACAACAGTATCTTGATGACTGAGATCACGAGCAGTACCCCAATACCCGTATCTTTCTATACGTAGTCCATGACGTAAAGCACGATCTAACCAGTAGACCAGCCAAGAATCACCATCTAAGACTACTGTACCATATAAACTTTGAGCATAAACCTAATAAAAAGCAAGCAAAAATATTTTGCTTATTTAATGATTAAAAGTGAACAAATGGTTACCTCTTAAACATCAGCATTTTTAATATAAGAAATTAGTAAGCATATTTTTTATTTTTACATTTTACGTCAAGTGTTTGTTAGTGTATGCAAAATTACTTTTAGGATTAAAATTGTGTACTCAGTTAAAAAAATTAACTAAGTGCTTCAACAAGTGTTCTTCATACAGGACTATAAAATACTTGTATTTGTTTAGTGACTTCTGTTTTTGTAAATATTAAATAAAAACAACAATATAAGATACTAAACGTTGAATAATTATAAGAGTACCAATAGAAAAATAACAAAAATCAGGGAATGAAAGTAAACTTACTATTTTATGAAAATATGAAAGAATTTATAAACCGAGACGATAAAAATTAATCGATCCATGTGAATCTCACAAAGAGATAAGAAAACAGTAGAACTAATTGATAACTGTGTGAACAAAGACGTAAAGACACGTACGTCAGTGGAGGACCCACGACATGGAACAAGTAAGTTCGAGTAAGTTGCAAGTGAGAAACGGGAAATCGTGATGACGCGAGGAGCACATGTACTTCTTGAACATGGATCGCGTTCAAAAACAATAAAGATAATAAAACGCATCTAACTGTTAAATTGTTTGACGCACAACCAAGCGTGCGTGTGCGTGCTACTTCAATTTCAGCTGTTTCGTCATGGTTAAGTATTTCAAGAAAATCGTTTTTATGTACGAGTAAAAAGAAATGAAAATTTGTCTAAGTCAAAGACCTGATGATCAGAGGATAGAGAGTGGGATGGATCATTAGATTGGTATGTATTAAAATTCGTATTAAAAAGGTGCATACGTATGTATATAGACGATATATGGCCTTGATACGCCATCCCTATCCTCAAGCAGACAGCACTTACCAATTTGACAGCTTTGGTCAATTCCTGAAGTATTCTTCCTTTAGACAGTACCTTATCGGTACAAAGGTCCATATCGTCCTGACTCGGCATTTCGATCTCTAATCTTACATGATTCTTATCACGCGATATTAAGAATTTCGAGGAAAAAAAAAGGAAAATTCGAAGACAGGGAAGACAGAACACGGCTCTGATGCGACGTTGGTGGAGTCGCACTGATACTTTCGCCGGGTGGATTCATTGATTTTAGCTGCGCGCAGGCCGCGCGGCAATATTAAACCCTTCCCTAATCTCGTTCCTCTTTATTTTTTATTATTTGCCACGCACTTGCACGCTTCTTATTAACTATCAAGGCGATGCAAACACATGACAGAGTTAGACTTCCATTCGTATAACAAAAGATGAATAAAACGAGAAAATCAGCTTGTGATAAATATAAGCACATATTTCTTCTTCTTTACACACTGTGCTTAAATTATTTCATTCTGAATTTCATCTATGCTCGGTTATTTTCAGTTTCATGTTTAGAAATAATATAAATTATAATTGTATATACATTTATGATATAGTACGAACGTAGTTGCAGCACGAATTCACCTGTTTACGCAACGTGGAGAAAGTTTTGCGGGAGTAGTATCTGTTTCAATAATATTAACTAATTTCAGGAAAAGTAAATTGTTTCGATGTCGAGAAATTGGCATTCTCCATGTTCGTAAACGCAACGAACTCATTTTACGAAATACGTGCGGCAACATAATCGACTAAAGATATATATTCAAGAAAAAAAACATAAGTTATATATTGATAAGTTGAAGGTTGTACAATATTTTTAAGAGATAAGATCATCAATTAAGTAAACACTTCAACATCGATACTCTAAATTGATCCTCACTTTTTCGTCAAAATGTTTAAATATATTTCAATTTTTATAGTATTGAAACTGCAGATGTTCGTGCAGTTAAACGTAATACTTATTTATGTTGGTAACATGCGAAATAATTCTGTCACTGTAACTTACCTACCGTACTATACTGTGCACTTCACTTAAATGACAGATAAATCACTGATTTATCATATATGCGAGTAAAACATTCTGCTGCACCGTGATAAACGTTATGATTTTAATGGATCAATGAAATCCATCATGGTAGGTCAAAAATATCCATACACGTGATAATCGCTTTCTTATCGTAATGTGAAATAATATACGCATTTTTAAATGTGTTGTATATTTTATGTTGCTTTTCTCGTATCAACTTATGCTATTTTCAAATTCGACACACGCATCAATTGTTTTTCTAAGAAGAAGCGAGACACCGACAGTGTGCCTCGAATACATAATTCATTAAGAAAAACGGTTGAATTACCACATTTAAAATGTATATAAAATAATCATTGTCATAACTAAATTGGACAATTCTATTCATGCATAAAGTTCTATTTGGGGAATAATTTATCAATTACATAGAGAAACAATTTACTATTTTTTCTCGTCTGTGCTTAAGTTTTAAATGACTATCCGTATGATTGAAAAGTGAAGCCACAGACGAGGTATAGAATAAACCTATAACCTAATGCATTTTTTTATTCACGTCACGAGGGCTGAGAGTGCCCTTATCATTTACGTGTCGCTTCCAACGTTACCGATTCAACATGGAGTAAAATTGCAACATTAGTAGTGGTTAGAATTAGAATTAAATGTAACAATGAAATAATAAATAAGAAATTAACGTAAATGTTTATTAGTATATGATTCATCACATTCGCTTGTTCTACTGCAGACGAGGTACAGGATAGACTTAATATCTTGTGGGATTTTGTGTCCACAGTACGAGGGCCGAGGAAACCCTTACCATTTTCGTATCGCACTCAACGTTACCGATTATTCTACAGTTAAAGTACTTCAAAATATGCCATAAACTGTATTATACTATCTACATTATTAGTAATGTTAAAGCAATTAAAAATTTATTATAAATATCAAGTAAATAAAATAAAAATGACGAGGATAGCAATAGAGAAGAAAGACAAGGAAAGAATAACGGTAGATAAGGATAGCACTACAGTAATGAGTAAGGCAAGGAAAGGAATACAGGTAGAGAAGGATAGCAATAGAGAAATGAGTTAGACAAGGAAAGATATAGGGTTAGACAAGGACAGAAAATTTGAAAAGTAAAACTGGCGCCATCTCGTTTTTGGTGACGAGAACTACCATTTTTTAATAGGAACACAGAATATGAACAGAGGTATTAGACAAGGAAAGCACTAGTGTGCGACAAGGATAGAGAGAGAACGTTTCCTATTGGTCCATTGGCCGCCAGGCTCCACTACCCACGCGCTGTATCAAGTCGGTCGGGGAAAAATCATTAATAACTCATTAATTAGGATGATTTTGTGAACTTTTAGGATTGAAGAATGTAGCGTTGACCATTAGCTACTTTCACGTATAGTTTTTAATGCAATAGACCCTTTCAATAATTAGTTATTAATAATTTTAGTACAGGATGTCGGGAATGATGCCGTTTACGTTTATATACGTATACGGTTTTTCAATAATTTCGTAGCTTTCTACTAAATTCCCATGCAACTAACTATATGCACCTGAAAGACAACACCTTCAGCTACATTCTTCTCTAATTTTTATTAACATATTCGATCTAGTTCAAAAGTAATTAAATATTAAAGGAGAGAATTCCTATTCATCGTACTCGTATACAGGCAACTCTTATAAACAATTGCTAATATTTAATAAACCACACCACTTACGGTTACTAAACTAATTGCAGAATATAGACAAAAGTTCATTCTACATTCTTCATGTTTAAAGGTGCATAATTAATCACGCACTTCTAGCAAAATAACGAAAATGTGTTACGCTTCAATGCGAGAGGCGTATACGAGTGTAATATATTTACGGTTTTTCAATAATTTCATAGTTTTTTACTAAATTCTCATACAATTAACTGTATGCATCTGAAAGGTAACTCCTTTGTCTTCATTCTCATATAAATTTAATTAACATATCTTTTGTGGTTTGATAGTTATTTAGCATTCTTTGAGAGAGTATTACACTCGTCGCATTCAATCATAATACATTTTCGTTATTTCAATAGAAATGCGTGATTAATTATGCACTTTTAAGCATGGAGAATGTATAATAGACTTTTATTTATATTCTTCAATCAGTTTTGTAGCCGTAAGTGATGTGGTTTACTAGATATTAGCAATTGTTTTTAACATTCGACTATACTCGGGTACGACGAATAGGGACTGTCTCCTTTACTGTTTAATTACTCTCGAACTAAGCCGAATACGTTAATAAAAATTATAGAAGAATGTAGCTAAAAGTGTTGCCTTTCGGATGCATATAGTTAGTTGCATGGGAATTTAGTAGAAAGCTATGAAATTATTGAAAAACCGTAAAGATGCTTGACGGTATGCGGTATCATTCCCGACATCACGTCATAAAATTGTTAATAACTAATTATTGAAAGAGTCTATTGCATTAAAAACTATATGTGAAAGTAGCTAATGGTCCACGCTACATTCTTCGATCCTAAAAGTTCACAAAATCATCCTAATTAATGAGTTATTAATGATTTTTCCCTGACCGACTTGATAGGGCGCCTGGAGGTGCAGCATGGCGGCCAGCGAACCAATAGGAAACGTTCTCTCTCTATCCTTGTCGCACACTAGTGCTTTCCTTGTCTAATACCTCTGTTCATATTCTGTGTTCCTATTAAAAAGTGGTATTTCTCGTCACCAAAAACGAGATGGCGCCAGTTTTGTGTTTCAAATTTTCTGTCCTTGTCTATCCCTATATCTTTCCTTGTCTTACTTGTTACTCTAGTGCTATCCTTATCTATCGTTATTCGTTTCCTGGTCTCTCTTCGCTATTGCTATCTTCGTCATTTTTATTTAATTTAATTGATACAGTTTATCACATATTTGGAAGTACTTTAATTATAGAATAATTGGTAACGTTGTTGCGACACGAAAATGGTAAGGGTCTTCTCGGCCCCCGTACTGTGGACACAAAGTCCCATGAGATGTTATGTTCATCCTGTACCTCGGCTGTGTTTCTATCTCCTTATTTATCCTTTAATATTTAAATGTAAGGAATACATTTACTACAAGTAAAATTTATGTATATTTTGCATACTAGTTCCTACAGTGTGTAATAAAAGATGTACACATTTTTACAACTTGTTTTATTTGTACAATATGTATGATGAAAATAGTAAGGGTGAATAATTTAAATCGTGATGTATTTCATAATATTTTATTTATTTCAAATAAGCAATAACAATGGCCACTTAGTTAGAAAATACTTGGAAAATATTTTTCCCCTATTAATTTTCCCCAAATGGAATGATTCGTTCGAATAGACCGTATTCACAACACTTTATGTTTCATGCAATTTCACTACTTACGAAATGTTGCGTATTATTTTATAGAGATGTAAAGAATATTGAAATACAGGGTACAAATGTAACTTTTGGTATAATTTATATAAACATTATCAAATATTGTTAAAAATTTTCTTTCTGTGTACCGTTATGTCTAATTTTCCCGCAATACGTTTATCATCGCGACAAAATTGTGGCGCCAAACGAATGTACACGTAACATCGTTTTTAATAATCGTATATGCTTAAAATGAAATCTTAAAGAATCATCGAATAAATTTTTCAGTATTGTAATTATTTATTGTCACCTCAAGATCATTTTATTTTTGAGACACGTTATGTAGTTTTTGTACACCATCATTTTATTTTTGTACGTAAGAATTTTCTTTCATTTCATTGTATTGTTTATTGTTATTTTCCACCATTACTATATTTTATTTGTAATTCTCTCAGTTGGACAATTATGTCGGACCCTGGATTGTCGTTTGACGAGGAAACACTCTCCCCAGATATCTTCAATGATGTAGATAATGTGACAAATAACCCTGTAATCTCTGATGACTGTAAGATATTAATGAAACATTTCATCTTGTTGATTTAAAATTCGGGAAAATTAAAACTACGTGTATACTACATACAACCAAATATATATATGTGTTCCACTTAATTTTACATTAAATTATATTTCATTTCGTAAAGCAAGCTCAATGTCCGTCGATGTTAATGAACCAGAACCTCTGGATGATGTACCTGAATGGAAAGGCATGAGTATGGATGAAATACGTAAAGGCTTGGGTATATATGATTGTCCGGAGTTACCACCTATTTGTCCTTCTTCATCTCATACAGTATTAATATCTGTGAGTATTAAATTGAATTTTCATTGATGTTCATTAAGTTATACAAATTCTAATTTGAAAATGGTTCAAAATAGTTACCATTACCTGCACGTGGAACACCAAAACCATATCCTACACATCAAGTGGACAAATGGTATCAGGATTGTGTACGGATGCCACACTCAAAACATAGCGTATATCCAATAGATGAGGCATGTGAATGACCACTTCATATGAGAAATTTAATATTGTTTATGATCTAAAATTTTATAAGTAATATAATCTTTTGCGTATTTTATTATAGAACGGGTCTCGTCGTTGTCGAAACAGATGGGAAATAATACAAGAATCATTACTTCAAAATTTTGTTTCAACTCATCAACTGGAAAGAGCAATACTTTCTTATAACCACAGATATGCACAACGTTGGGATTTTACTGCACTACATCACTTTTTTTCTGAGGTGCCATTTAAAGCTTTATATATTTACTGCAATATGTATTTTTTAGACACTCTGA